GTGAGGTTAAGCTTGATAGCCTAAACCGTTTGATAATAACAATAAGCTTGTCTTCTGGATGGCTAACAACCTAAGTTTGCAGACCAAAATTAGAGAAAAAGGAGGGCTACAAGGAAAGCCAACATTTTGGCACTAGCCTTCTAAGGTCAATTAAGACTCAGGACAGGAGCCGACGTCCCGCCCGCGCGCTGTTGAGCGTTCTAGGGGAGGCGCCATTCCCAGGACCTCGTGACGGCCGTGCGAAGTAAAGCAAGATTTCGTTTCCAAGATGGAAAGCCCGCCAGACCCGGCTGTGATTTTCCCCCGCACTCCACAGGCCTGTGCGAATCCACCATCTCCCTATACCAGTAGCTCACGGAAAGCGGTAGGACAGACAGCCTTGGTGCTTGCAGCGCATCCATTCGGTGCATCTATTCCTGGTGGCCGAGCTGGTTTGCAGTCTAGTACAGATGCGGGACACCTCTCTGTCCTCCGCCCCTCCCCCTTCCCAGGAGCTTGTCATCTTTGATCAATTACTTCTATTCAGCCCCAGCCCAGGTTATTGCGGTAATCAGTAATGAGCAAGTTTGGTTCTGTGCCATCCCAAGTGCATCTTCGTGGCAGTAGGTCTTGCCTCCCGCCTGCAGGCCTGAAGCACCTGGAGTAGCGTCAGTCACGCACCTGTTGCTAAACAGATGCCCTTGGTTATGGCTAAGTGTCTCAGCACTGTCTGGAAAGGTGTTGACCTCGCTAAAACAAAACTGTTGAACAGGATAAATCCTGAGGGGATCTCACCAACCTTATCAGGCCCCAAAGCTACAACTCCTGTTGCACAGGTCCTGCTCTACCTTGGTCTTAACCATCCAGCAGAAAAGTACAAAAACGAAGTATAAGAAGTAAAGCCACGCTGTTACGTTGAGCTGTGGGGGACTCGGGTCAATAATTTCTGACACTGCCAGTCAAGCGGAGGACTCAATACTATTATGGGCTACTGGACTCTTAGAATATTTTGCTGAGTTTACACACCTATAATATTCAAATAACGGAACTTAACAAAAAAAGTGGAAACGGGCTGGGGAGATGGCTCAGTGAAATAAGCACTTGCCTGGCAAGTGCGGTGGCCTGAGTTCAATCCCCGGTTCTGCAAAAACAAGAAAAAAAAAAGGGGGATACAGATGAGTGTTCATTTTGTATCTGTGTATTCAAAGTGGTTAGGATGGATGTATAGTTACATTCTCTTAATGAATAGAGAGATTTGTTCTAGTGGTGTTTGTAAATAAGATATCAAGTCCGCATCTTGTACAGCAATTAACCACTAGGAAGAATGTATGCAGTGTGTTAATTATTGAAACTGTCGGGGCTGGAGAGATGGCTCAGTGGTCTAAGGCACCTACTTAGAACAAGCTTGGCAAAGCATCAGGGACCGAGGTTCAATCCCCCAGCACCACATGCCAGCCAGCCCCGCCCCCTGGTGGGCTGAGCTGGCCACACACACACACCACACTCTCTCTCTCTCTCTCTCTCT